GGCTGAACCGATTCCCCACTGAGAGTCTCCATATTATCCTGTCTTCTTGTGCATTTTTCTTTCGTGGACTACCAGACGTTCTTTGGGGACTTGAATTAATTAGTGTCATTGTAAAGCTGCAATATTTAAGAGATCACAGATTTGGAATGACCAACTTCTCTTGCAATGGCTGAAAGGGTCTTCCCTTTGGCGTTCACCTGGACCGCCTCCTGTTACAGGGTTTCAGTCACCGCCATCTTGCAATCTCAGTGAAAACTGGAGGAATGCTGCCAGTTAAATAGGGTTTGTCAGATAATTAAGGAAATTGGCACCAGGTGCCAGATTAACCCCAATAACTGGGAGGTATCTGTAAGTGTTCTCTAATTTTGATCAGAGTTTTTTTCAAATATCTTATTTAAGTTTTTTTATACTGCGCTTCAGAATACAATTACTTTATGAAATATGCTTAAAAAACTGCCCTTCTACTCCTGTTAAGATAACTTAAAATCGGACTAAGCAGTGACCTTGAAATTTAGGAAATTGTAGGTTGTTCTATAATTTTGATCTCCACTGTATGTCATGTACATGTATATCCATCCTAAAACCTGTCAATACAGGTTGATATCATATAAATAAATATAAATGTATTTTAAAAAATATTACAAAAACATATATGAACAGCTTTTGTTATCTTAAGTATTTTATACTGAGCTTCAGAATACAATTACTTTATGAAATATTCTTAAAAAACTGCCCTTCTACTCCTGTTAAGATAACTTCAAATAGGACTAAGCAGTGACCTTGAAATTTAGGAAATTGTAGGTTGATCTCCACTGTACAAATCTTTTGTGTTTTATCAACCTTTTTGAGAAGCTTAATAAACAGATTCAAGAACTTATGCACATTACCTATTTGAGGCATTTGATACTAACAGGAATGGCTGTTTGAGTTTTAAGGTAAGCTGTAGCCAATAGTTTTGGGGTTACTGACAAGAGGTATTGACAAAGTGACACGATAATATGTGAGATACAGCATTCTCTTTTTGCACTTTCTATGTCCATCATATCTAACACACTTGATTCATATCATCAACTGGGTAGGAGAAAATCTATGAGCTGAACTAAATGTGTCAGTTAAGAGAGACATAAATGTGCAGAGCGGTGGGTCTACAACAAAGCTTGTAACCTGCCTTCCAGTTAAGATTTTATTTATTTGTTTGTCTGTTTCCTGACAGATTTATATTTCGTATTACTGTCATTTTACAGGAGTTTGTTGCTGGTCTGTCACTCATCCTTAGAGGCTCAATATATGACCGGCTAAATTGGGTATTTAATTTCTATGATCTTGATAAGGATGGATTCATCACAAGAGAGGTACTTCAAATGAAGCTTTGATCGGTTTAGCATTCACATGAACATATAGCATTAGTGTGTTTAGAAAGACTAATGTTAAAGTATATATGTGTGTATGTGATGTGTGTATGTGGTTTCGGTCTCCCAGGAGATGATGAAGATCATGAAGTCGATTTATGATTTGATGGGGAAGTATGTGTATCCCTCCATGCATGATGATACTCCCAGAGAACATGTGGAAAAATTCTTTCAGGTGAATGCAAACACACGGGAAGTTCATTAATGTCTATGTTGTGTCTCTACACTTCTTGCACCCAAACATTTTTGTTTGCTAAAAAGTACTGAACACTATTACAAGAAGACCTCTCTCCACATCAGCTACAATTAATGGAAAGGGATACATTCAGTGCTGTGAAAATGTGTTTGCCCCCATCCTGAATCCTTCTGTTTTTGTTCATATCTCACACTAATTTTTTTTTCAAAAATGAAAACAAAATCTAACATAAAGCAAATGTAATCTGAGTAATAATATAGCTTTAAAAAATAATGTTATATATTGAAGCAAAAAAGTTGTCTAACACCAACTGGGCCATTTTTTTAACTGAAAAATTCTGAAAAATTCCCAAATCTATGAAACTGCATTTATAAAGGGGTTCAGCTGGACTAAATGCAACAAGGTCTAATTACTGCCACAGTAATTAAATCAACATTTAAATCAACACCAGAATACTGATCATCATCACCTGATCCTCATCACAACCCCAATCACGGACTGTATATTAGGGGTGTGTAGTGGAGCCAATATTTGTATCTGTATCTGTAACAATCACAAAATTATTCGTATCTGTATTCAGATAAAACTGGAAGTGGGTGGGGCTTGAACCGGAAGTTCGTACAGTTACTTGAGAAGACCATTAGGCTATGTCTATGGTTTTACAACATCTTTTTTTTCGTAGTTATCACGGAACAAATATGCATATATATATATATATTTTATGATTATAACATTTAAATATCTTCTAACAGTCGGTGCCGATACCCTTGTATAGGCAGTGCTTCGGGGCGACCTTTCTTGATCCTATAAATAAATATTTAAATATTTTCTAATTAAACCAGTAAGGGTTCCTGTACAGTTTGGAAATATGAAAATTGAAAACCAGGAAATGCATGGAAAAAGGCAACTGCAACACTGCTATTTTATTTGCGCTCATTTCATTCATAGAGCTTACACTCACTGCACACACTTGTTAGGCCTACTGTGTTGTAATTTTAGAGGTTTATGTAAAACAACATGCTTTCCTTTGGCTCACCGGTTCCTGCAGTTTAAAAAAGTATTTCACTTAAGTAATTTGCAGGTCTGGAATAGTATGGAAAAAAAGAGAACAGAGTATGGAAAAATATTTGTGTTTCAACTATTTGCCCTATTCAGTGTACTAAAATATAAAATTATTTCATTCATGGAATTTACACTAATTTACTTCACACACTCGTTATTGCGTTGTAATTTTAGAGGTTTATGTAAAATAACATGCGTGTTTCAACAATTTGTCCTATTCAGTGTTCTAAAATATAAAATTAATCATTTCTAAAAATAAAGTTATCATAAAAGCAGAGAGATTTCACGACAAACATTTAGTGTAACATTTGTAACATATTGGAGACACTGTATATCCTGTACTTACTGCTTATTGCACTTCTGGTTAGATGCTAACTGCATTTCGTTGCCTTGTACCTTACATGTGCAATGACAAAAAAGTTGAATCTAATCTAATCTAATGTTCTAAAATATAAAATTAATCATTTCTAAAAATAAAGTTATCATAAAAGCAGAGAGATTTCACGACAAACATTTAGTGTAACATTTGTAACATATTGGAGACACTGTATATCCTGTACTTACTGCTTATTGCACTTCTGGTTAGATGCTAACTGCATTTCGTTGCCTTGTACCTTACATGTGCAATGGCAATAAAGTTGAATCTAATCTAATTTAATCTAATCTAGTGATCATTTGAACACAACTGAATTAATTCAAGGCACACATTTTCATTACGCAGAACTATTTCTCTTTAAGCAAGTCCCTTTTAAACTTCACTAAACAAATATGCGTATGCCATGCAAACCAGCAAAAGATAAAGGAGCAAATGTGTAGGCCTAGTAGAAAATGTATATGTATCTAAGTTGATTATAGCCTACTCTTGACAGAGAGCTGGTTTGGTTTTTTTAAAGACGGAGACACGCAGAGATGGCAATGCGGCTGTTTGATTGGCGATCGCTCTGTGCTTATTCCATTCATCCGTGTATCATATTGTACAAGGTTTAAATCATTGACATTTAAATATACATAAATAGTAGAACGTGTATGATGTAGTATTTTAGTTGATATTACTCTTCTTTCCAAGCTCTGTTTTCTGAGATATGCACAGAGAGGCAACATCAATGCAGTTGTTTGATTTGTGCTCATTTAATTCATAAAGTTTACATTGATTCACTTCACACACTCGTTATTGCATAGTGACTTTAGAGATTTATGTATAATATTGTGCTGATCCCCGGCTCACCTGTTATCCAGCAAACATGAGGAGTGACTGTGCCAGCCTCAGCTGAATATTATTTGGCAGAATTATTTGTTATCTGTTATTAATTTTGAAGCCCTTATCCGTGCCTTTCCGAATAAGGTATTCGGTTTCGGGAACACCCCTACTATATGCACACCCTCAAAGCACCTTCATTGTCTTGTCTCGTCTGAGTATGACCACCATGCATCATGTGTGCTATTCATCTTCTTCTTCGGACACCTGCAAGAAAGGATTGTTATTGGCTGTGCTTCTTCACTGCTTATGTTATTGTGTTCTACTCACCTCCCTCATCGTGTTTAATTGTTTATTACCACCATTGACTGTCTAATAAATACCACTCACTGTAACAACTTTCGCCATCTTGATCCTTCTGTAACAGAAGACAAGGCCGTAACAGCATGGATCCATCGAGTTTGGGCCTGGACTCAAACTCGTCACTGCGACCATCGAAAACATGGAGCAGGAATTGCAACGTTCTCTGATGACCTCTTCCAACCCCTATAAAACCGGTGCATCTGAGGTGAGCGCTAATCCACCTGCTAGCTTTTTTCCATCCACTAAAACAAACCCTCATTTCTTCACCCAGCCCTTTTTATTGCTGCCGTTGGTGCTAAACACGGGATTCGTGTCACTGTCAGTGCCATACTCAGGAATGGCAGGGGATTGCAAGGGTGTTCCATCATGCCCGAAATGAATCCTAACCTACTTCCCACTGAGAAAACCAAAGTAGGATTCATTATCTCACATCTCTCTCTAGCTGTATGCTGCAGTGGATCGAACCTTTATGGCAGTCAAGGCTGTCTGCAATCCCAATTCCGCCATATTTCCAGCATCTTCTTGCTTGTCTTGTCTTCTGTCTTGTCTGGCCTCCCCTAATCATGGTAGTCCATGACACCTGTGGAGAGTGTTGGATTAAACAGGGACTGCCCAGGATGATGGGTGCTGTGGATGTAGGAAGAAGGTAAAGGACTATTCTTCCATTGTGGCAGACTCCCACCTGCAGTTCTAACAGAGGTGATTGATGGATGATACGTCTTTTATCTGAGGCAGTAACAGTCACTGGCATATGAAATAGAGAGCTAACAAGAGATGCTGGGTGGATGGAACCAGAGAAATCCTCAAATGGAACCAGAGCTGTCACCACTACTGCATCACGTTTCCCATCCATCAGAGCAGAAGGCCATGAAGGAGTATGTGGAGGAGGCTCTCTGCCAGGGATACATTGCCCTAGAGTTCATGAAAATCAATCTTCGTAGTGCCTCTAATCTCATTCATGTCCACAATGGTGGCAAATGTAAGACTGCGTTTCAAACATCATCAGGTCACTATAAATATCGGGTGATGCCGTATGGCAGCGGTGTACCAAAAAACCTGCTCCTGGAGGGCCAGCATCCTGCAGAGTTTAGCTCCAACACAATTGCCTGGAAGTTTCTAGTGAGTCTGAAAATCTTGATTACTTTGGTTCAGGTGTATTTAATTAGGGTTGGAGCTAAACTCTACAGGACAGTGGCCCTCCAGGAACAGGTTTGGACACCCCTGCCGTATGGCCTGGCCAATGCACCTTCGGTGTTCCAGGGATTCATGAATGAAATCTTTCATGATTTTGTCTCTAATTTTGTGCTCATTTACGTTGATGGCATTCTCATCTATTCCCCTTCTGAACACCTTAGGCACGCTGGGCTGATCCTGCAGTGTCTCTGTGATCACAGGTTGTTCCTCAAGGCCGAAAATGCTCTTTTCACAAATATCGGGTGCATTTCCTTGGCTACATCATCGACTCCCAGGGTGTGCAGATGGACTCATGGAAGGTGGATGCAGTGCAATTGTGGCCTCCTCCATTCTTCTTAAGGGAAAACCCAAATCATTGAATTATACGGAGGAGGCCACTAGAGCATTCCAGTCACTTAAGACATTGTTTATCTCACCCTATGTCCTTCAACATCCAGATCTAGAACTGCACTTTGTGGTAAGGGTTGGATGCTTCATCCATGGGAGTAGGGGCAGTGTTATCCCAGTGGAATAAAGCTTCCTCTAACCTCCATCCATGCGCTTTCTTTTCTAGGAAGCTGGTCTTCTAGGACACCTATGAGTGGACTTTGCCACAAACTTGCTATCAGCAGAAGGATATATGACAATCCTGGTGCTAGTAGATATATCCTCAAAGGCCTTTGAACGGATCCCTCTGATGGGGCTACCCAGTGCATTCCAGAATATTGAACTATTGTTTCAACACATTTTCCAGAACTTTGGCATCAACTGAGGAGATTGTATCTGACAGAGGACCGCAGTTCGTCTCACATGTATGGAAAGCCTTCTGCTGACTACTAGGTGTGACAATCTGTCATATGGTTACCATCCAAAGACAAACAGCCAAACGGAGCACAAGATACAATAGGTGAGACGTTACTAGTTCACATATTACTATGACCAGCAGGACCAATAGAGTCGCTTTATTCCCTGGGCCTTGTATGTATAAAACTCCCTCAAACAGTCCACCACAGTATGAACACCCTTCTGTGCATACCTTGGCTTTCAACCACCACTTTTCCCCTGGACCAGAGAGCCATCAGAGGTACCCGCTGTTGACCATTGGTTTCACCAGAGCAAGAGGGTTTGGTATTCTGCACATTCACCTTCAGAGAGCATTATGCCGACATCAGAGCCAGGCTGATGC